CAAAATTCCGATGCCGAGGGCCAAGGCTAATGCCAAATTCGTACTGCATTGAATAGACTAGTGACTAGTATAATGTTATTTGTTTAATTATTGTACGATATAACAAATAAAGTATCTAATTATTCTTAATATAATGTTTTACTATATCGCCCAGAAAATTGTTTTTTGCCCCCAAAATATAAATTGTTACTAATCGCCCCTCAACATGGAAAAACGCCCACATGGGGGCGATATCGCCCCCGTTGAGAAACACTGCCCTAGACCATCACTGACGCACAATTGACTGATTGCCCCTGGATGTCGGCTTCTTACAGAAACGTAGCTTCCTTATCGTCAAATGTCACGGCATGCCACTGGTATAGTGTACTGTACATTTGTTATATATTACATATTAACATAAAAATATTAATCACATAAAAACTGTGGTGTTTGTTAATATCAGGAAAAAATTTAGAATAAGACATTAAACAGAATGTTTGTTTCTTTTTTTATATAACAAAAATTCAAATTTGGAAATTTAATTAATAGCAATTTTAGTTAGGATGAAATAGTTACACAGTAAAATAATTAAGACGGTGCCCTTTTTGTGTCTTGATCAGCTCTATTTGTGAAAATAATTTCTTCCCTTTGATACCATCATATTGCTTTAGTGTACCTTCCTCATGTAAACAGACTACATTACTAACTATAATTTCGATTTTATACTTTTATCTGTAATAGCTAGCAAGACATTTCTGATAGATGATTTTTGCTGTTAAATATGTTTATAGCAGTGTTATTTTTAGAGATAAACATATTTACTGTATTGAAAGCAACTTTTTACTATTAACATTTTCAAAAAGTCTTTTTAAAATAAAGATTAAACTGTACCTATTGCTCTTCCTCTGCGGCTACTTTGGTAATTAACTATATCTACCACATCACTAACAGCATCAGAAAAGCCTATATCATAACCTCTTCGAGGTGAAGGAGATCTTCTGCGCATTCTCATACCACTTGGAGATGGAGATGGAGATCGAGAACGTGAACGTGGCCCTCTATCGTATCCATAATCGTCGGGCCTTAAATGACCATCTTCGCCCTAAAAAATTTCGTAGTAATTAAATTTTCTATAACTTTATTATAACAATTAGTTAATCTGTGTGAAATTTTTAATATGAAAATTAAAAAAATAATTTAATATTGAAACAAAAAATTTTTTTAATCAAACAAAATATAAAGGAGAAACCATATATTACCTTTATTCTTTATAAATTAGATGAATTAAAGTCTCTGACATAAAAACATAATTTCAGACATTTGTGGATATTATTTAAAATAATGACAGTTAAATTTTTTAAATTAAATTTTGTGCATTTTTAAAACTTTTTAAAAGCTATTACGTACGTAAATTAAGATCTATTGTATGTAAATATTAAAAAAACCTTTGAAATGACATTTTTATCTCAGAACTGTAGTAATGTATGTGATGATTTCTAATTTTTATCGGATAAAAATTATCTATTTGGAACTACAATATTAATTATTACCTATGTAATGAAAAATACTTCAGCTATTTATTTGCCCAGGATTATATTTTTAAAATTTAGAAACAGCATATTCACATTTTCATGACAAAATAGAAAAAGGAAATAGTATATTAAAAAATCTTATATATGTATTTAAAACAATAATATCTGATGAGACTACGAGGGCTGTTCAAAAAGTATCGGACCTTTGGTCAGCAAAAATACATTTATTGATTTTGAGGTACAAAACCCTAATCCCCTTCAAAGTAGTCTCCTTGGTAGTGTATACACTTCTCCCAGAGTTCCTGCCATTGCTGGAAAAACTGCTGGAACGCATCTTTTGGAATGGCCATCAGCCAGTCCGTCGCATTCTGCACGATGTCTTCTCTTGACTAAAATTGGGTTCCTTTTAGCGGCTTTTTCAGCTTGGGAAATAGTCAAAAGTCACACGGAGCCATGTGGGGAGAGTACGGAGCATGATGAACCACAGGAGTGTTGTGTTTGGTGAAGAAAGCCAGAATCAGATGCGCAGAATGGGCGGATGCGTTATCATGATGGAGCTGCCAAGTTTTGTTCGACCACAGATCCTGTCGTTTGTGTTGTACAGCATCGGAAAGATGACGAAGGACCTCCTGGTAGTACTCCTTTGCGAAGGTTTGGCCTTGTGGTGCGTGCTCATGATACACCACCCCACGAGAGTCGAAAAAACTGTCAACACGACCTTGATATTTCTGCGGACCTGCTGCGCTTTTTTTGGCCTCGAGGATCGTCCCCAAAAGCCTGCTGAATCTTGCAAATGGTTTATGCTTGGGTATCGCCAAGGTTTTTGGCAAAATTTGATGTAATATCGCTGCTCACGTTGTTCAGTCATTTTCCAACTTAGTGGAATCCGACGAGAGCTCACTACATATCCTCACTCATAGGCCGACTGCCAACGACTGACGCTTCCTGCAGGCAGGAAAAAATTCAGGGCTGTGCTTGACTCTCCCCTCCACAACTCCACCGAAAGAGGCCTCGTATTTACTTGTAAGCATGAAGGACTAAGAATATCTTTGGCATTTTGAGTATATTTTGTTATTAATTTTAGTTCAGAAAATAATTTAAAATTTAATCTATATGATATTTCTAATGCTACATATAAGTAAAAACAGGCTAAGTTTGCATTAAAAAGAATGTTTTATTGAAAGCATATGTTGGATAAAGCAGGGGTGCACAACCTGCGGCCCGCGGGCCACATACCTGGGGATTTGGCCTGTACTGTCCGCGGGCCGCATAAACATTGATAGGGGGCCCCCTATCAATGTTTATGCGGCCCGCGGACAGTACAGGCCAAAGGCCCAGGTATGTGGCCCGCGGGCCGCAGGTTGTGCACCCCTGCTTTATCCAACATATGCTTTCAATAAAACATTCTTTTTAATGCAAACTTAGCCTGTTTTTACTTATATGTAGCATTAGAAATATCATATAGATTAAATTTTAAATTATTTTCTGAACTAAAATTAATAACAAAATATACTCAAAATGCCAAAGATATTCTTAGTCCTTCATGCTTACAAGTAAATACGAGGCCTCTTTCGGTGGAGTTGTGGAGGGGAGAGTCAAGCACAGCCCTGAATTTTTTCCTGCCTGCAGGAAGCGTCAGTCGTTGGCAGTCGGCCTATGAGTGAGGATATGTAGTGAGCTCTCGTCGGATTCCACTAAGTTGGAAAATGACTGAACAACGTGAGCAGCGATATTACATCAAATTTTGCCAAAAACCTTGGCGATACCCAAGCATAAACCATTTGCAAGATTCAGCAGGCTTTTGGGGACGATCCTCGAGGCCAAAAAAAGCGCAGCAGGTCCGCAGAAATATCAAGGTCGTGTTGACAGTTTTTTCGACTCTCGTGGGGTGGTGTATCATGAGCACGCACCACAAGGCCAAACCTTCGCAAAGGAGTACTACCAGGAGGTCCTTCGTCATCTTTCCGATGCTGTACAACACAAACGACAGGATCTGTGGTCGAACAAAACTTGGCAGCTCCATCATGATAACGCATCCGCCCATTCTGCGCATCTGATTCTGGCTTTCTTCACCAAACACAACACTCCTGTGGTTCATCATGCTCCGTACTCTCCCCACATGGCTCCGTGTGACTTTTGACTATTTCCCAAGCTGAAAAAGCCGCTAAAAGGAACCCAATTTTAGTCAAGAGAAGACATCGTGCAGAATGCGACGGACTGGCTGATGGCCATTCCAAAAGATGCGTTCCAGCAGTTTTTCCAGCAATGGCAGGAACTCTGGGAGAAGTGTATACACTACCAAGGAGACTACTTTGAAGGGGATTAGGGTTTTGTACCTCAAAATCAATAAATGTATTTTTGCTGACCAAAGGTCCGATACTTTTTGAACAGCCCTCGTAGTCTCATCAGATATTATTGTTTTAAATACATATATAAGATTTTTTAATATACTATTTCCTTTTTCTATTTTGTCATGAAAATGTGAATATGCTGTTTCTAAATTTTAAAAATATAATCCTGGGCAAATAAATAGCTGAAGTATTTTTCATTACATAGGTAATAATTAATATTGTAGTTCCAAATAGATAATTTTTATCCGATAAAAATTAGAAATCATCACATACATTACTACAGTTCTGAGATAAAAATGTCATTTCAAAGGTTTTTTTAATATTTACATACAATAGATCTTAATTTACGTACGTAATAGCTTTTAAAAAGTTTTAAAAATGCACAAAATTTAATTTAAAAAATTTAACTGTCATTATTTTAAATAATATCCACAAATGTCTGAAATTATGTTTTTATGTCAGAGACTTTAATTCATCTAATTTATAAAGAATAAAGGTAATATATGGTTTCTCCTTTATATTTTGTTTGATTAAAAAAATTTTTTGTTTCAATATTAAATTATTTTTTTAATTTTCATATTAAAAATTTCACACAGATTAACTAATTGTTATAATAAAGTTATAGAAAATTTAATTACTACGAAATTTTTTAGGGCGAAGATGGTCATTTAAGGCCCGACGATTATGGATACGATAGAGGGCCACGTTCACGTTCTCGATCTCCATCTCCATCTCCAAGTGGTATGAGAATGCGCAGAAGATCTCCTTCACCTCGAAGAGGTTATGATATAGGCTTTTCTGATGCTGTTAGTGATGTGGTAGATATAGTTAATTACCAAAGTAGCCGCAGAGGAAGAGCAATAGGTACAGTTTAATCTTTATTTTAAAAAGACTTTTTGAAAATGTTAATAGTAAAAAGTTGCTTTCAATACAGTAAATATGTTTATCTCTAAAAATAACACTGCTATAAACATATTTAACAGCAAAAATCATCTATCAGAAATGTCTTGCTAGCTATTACAGATAAAAGTATAAAATCGAAATTATAGTTAGTAATGTAGTCTGTTTACATGAGGAAGGTACACTAAAGCAATATGATGGTATCAAAGGGAAGAAATTATTTTCACAAATAGAGCTGATCAAGACACAAAAAGGGCACCGTCTTAATTATTTTACTGTGTAACTATTTCATCCTAACTAAAATTGCTATTAATTAAATTTCCAAATTTGAATTTTTGTTATATAAAAAAAGAAACAAACATTCTGTTTAATGTCTTATTCTAAATTTTTTCCTGATATTAACAAACACCACAGTTTTTATGTGATTAATATTTTTATGTTAATATGTAATATATAACAAATGTACAGTACACTATACCAGTGGCATGCCGTGACATTTGACGATAAGGAAGCTACGTTTCTGTAAGAAGCCGACATCCAGGGGCAATCAGTCAATTGTGCGTCAGTGATGGTCTAGGGCAGTGTTTCTCAACGGGGGCGATATCGCCCCCATGTGGGCGTTTTTCCATGTTGAGGGGCGATTAGTAACAATTTATATTTTGGGGGCAAAAAACAATTTTCTGGGCGATATAGTAAAACATTATATTAAGAATAATTAGATACTTTATTTGTTATATCGTACAATAATTAAACAAATAACATTATACTAGTCACTAGTCTATTCAATGCAGTACGAATTTGGCATTAGCCTTGGCCCTCGACATCAGAATTTTGAAGTGAAGGGGGCGATACTAGTAACGGTTTTATTGAAGGGGGCGATACTATGTTGAAGGGGGCAATGGTTCCCAATTAGTTTTTCCTGCATACCACTTCAAGAAAGAGCTCAAACTCGTGTACCCCTTATAGCAGAAATTCATATTAATCCACACTATTATTATAAATTCGAATGTAATTCTGTCTGTCACCTTTTCACGTCTAAACCACTGAACAGGTTTTAATAAAATTTGGCACAGAGATAGCTTACATGTTGGAGATGGACATGGGCTACATTTTACTGCGAGAAAATATCTTACTCCCACGAGAAAATTCGATATAATGTAAGCGAAGCTGTGGGTAGACAGCTAGTGATAATAAATGTAAAAAAAAACTTATTCTATTTACCTTTAAAATACAATTCTAATAATAATGAAAATAACATAAGGTTATTTAATTTTAATGTGACAAATGTGCACGATTTTCTTTGCACAACTTTGTAAAATCTGGTTGCTTTTTGGTCAGCTTCAGTCTC